GTCCACTGGACAAAGGACTGGTTCTGTCCCTGGCGGGACGCCCTGTCTTCGTCACAGTACTCAGAACGGCACAGAGTTTAAGTTATGAATTGTTCATTTCTGGRGTTTCCGGCCTGCAGGTGACYGCAGGTAACCAAAATCACAGGCACCAGGGTCAGGGTAGGCGAGGCCACCGCACCTCCCTCCTGCCGAGAGCCGAGTGGAGCGCCCGGAAGGGCAGCGTCGCTCCGCCAGGGCTCCTCCCAGGTGGAGTGGAGCCTCTGTTAAGCCAACGTCCCCCACGACAGCCCGACCACCCTCTGAAAGTCAGGGTGAACCTGGGATCATTCARGGCCTGGACCAGCCTCTGCCCAGGCGGAGTTAGTGACGTCCACCCGGGACCACAGGGCTCCCGGTGAGGACCTCGACTTCTGTGAGAAGCCACCTGGAGGTCTGACCGCATCTGAGCTCATTTCTCTCCTCTCAGCGCCACAGGCCTCCCGGTGCCTCACAGGGACAACGTGGCCGCTCCTCTGTGTCAAGCAACGGGCCTGAGGCCGAGAGCTGGACACGGGGGCTGGTGGGGAGCCTCTGCGGATCYGTCTGCTGGCACCTGGGGCCTTCAGGGGCTCTGGGCACTCGGGAGAAGCCCAGGTCTGAGCCCAGCTCGGGGGCCCCCTGCGTGATTCTGAGCGCAGGTGACCTTCCGGGCCCGGGTTCCGCGCCTGACATCGAGGTGAACCTGGACTTGCCCCCATCACAGGGCTGAGGAGCGAAGCCCAGCAGGGGCCAGGAGAGGGACTCAGCGCAGGGCCTGGTGGGGGCTTCCCTGAGGAAGGGGGTGGAGGACGACAGAAGGGACCGAGGGGACCCGAGTCCAGGCTGCCGGAGGGCCTGGGAAGGGGGGTTAAAGGAAGCAGGTGCCAGTTGGAGCGGAGCAGACGGCCACAGGCTGGGCCGGGCAGTCCCCTGAGGCCCGGTCCACTGTGTCCTGAGAGCAATGGAAGTCATTCACAGAGGACAAGGAGGCACACTGCGATTTGCATTTTGAAAGGTCACTCTGCCTGCTGTGAGAGCCACAGATGGAGAAGGGACAGCGCAGGAGGTGGGGGTGGGGGCGGGGTCTCGGGGCCAGGAGCCGCGCCCTAGCAGCCCTCTGAGGACGTTCTGAAAGCCCTGCCCAGCCTGCGAGGGATTCTTGTTTGGATTAAATGAAAGGTAAAGTTCCA